ACCGCGGCGGCCCGGGTTCGATCCCGGGTCTGGTCAAGTGGGATTTGTGGTGGACAAAGTGGCGCTGGGGCAGGTTTTCTCCGAGTACTTCGGGTTCCCCTGCCAATCTTCATTCCACCAACTGCTTCACAATCACCTCACCTATCATCTGCGGCTGGTACAATAGTCCAGAAATGGCCGCAGTACAAGGGACTTGGTCCCACCCCACTAGCATTAATTACTGGTGCAGGAATATTAAACACAGATGCTTTATTAATGAAGATAATGTGTGTCTTTATTTCGGCACTAGAATTGGCTTCACTTGAACATCCTTTCTAAAGCAGTGTATAAAATATTATGACATTTTAATGAGTTTGGCTTGTTGTTTCAATCAAGGGATACTCAAATTAAATGTACTCGAATGTGCGAAAAATGCTGGATAAAACGTGAGTATAAAGAAAGGGAACAAACTGTTTCGCTCGACGCAGGTTTCCACGGACTATGAAGCGAACTCTGCACAGCGTTAATGCCAACGGTCCTGCCAGAGAGACAATTCCGACAGGCCTGCTTAATTATTTAACAGAAATTCAGCTTGCCTGTGAGACAGCAGACACATAAAGGTCACACCTACGGACAGAAAACTGTGGGCGTACAGGCCAGCTTATTCACTTCTGTGTGCAGTGGCTGTCCACAGTTACTTCATAAAAATCTCCCAAAGTTCCCAAATTACAGGCTACATTATATAACGTTAAATGTACATACTGCTCGCTATAGTAGTCCGAGACTGTCTTGTTGCTGCACAAGCACAAGAGAACATCGTAATGAAATACTGATTGAAGCCTCCTCGTAATACGCACTAAGTAAATGAAAACGACGTTGGAATGGGCGATTCTGGCACGAAGCTATGGCGTCTATCGCATGGCAAGCAAAAAATATACATTAATAATTACCAACGCGCTAATGCGTTTCTGGAAAATCCTTCCACTAGCAGATCTGTTGATTACAACTACACTAAATCCGGCATACACAGTCTGAAAGGTTTGCCATAGTGGTCTTATCTACAATTAACTGTTAACACGTAACACAAACCCCACACATAATTTGTACACGTTCAGAATACATCCTCACACAAAATTCCATATGGCCCATTCGTCCTACAAATCAGGACGGAGTTGTGATCGGCTGAAATATCTTAACAAATCATGCCTTTTTGGGCATATCTACTACCGCACAGAATTTCCCAATTGTACAATGGCACATGTTTCTTCCAGACTATTTTGTTTAGGGAAGTTATGAAGGTAAAGTTCACCCTGTGTTTCGGAAGTGAAGTTGTTCCTGTGCTTAAGTAACTGAGCGCTATACCATGAACACAAGGTGGACTGGAGATGTAGCTCCACCATTACTGACGTCGACATTAGATGGGACGAGTGCTTAGCTTCACGCTCCGGCCGTTTATCCCCGGGGGAATCCCCCCCGGTACTCATTATATATAAGGTTGGGCAGGCTCCAATTCCGGCCTGGAAACTGTGAAGAGAATAATATGCTGTCGGGAATCGAATCCCAGCCGTCCAGCCCACACTCCGTTGATATTTCAACTGAGCTAACCCGACTCCTTAGGGAAGCTGTAATTAGATTTGAAAAGGCCACACATAAACTGAATGACTGGCAAATGTTTTACACAATGTATTCCCAAGAAGTTGACGGCGAGTAAAATAATATGCATTAATTCTACAGTGCACAGCTGGGAGCCGGGAGAGTATAGTCGGTATAGCGAATGGTCACGGGTTGACGACAGAGGTGTCAGAGTTCAAGTACCGGTAGGGTCACGAAGTTTCTCTTCTCCACGTCATCCAGACCAGCTCTGGTGTCCACCCAAACTCCTTTCCAATGGGTACCGGGAGTTATTTCCCCGGAGGTAAAACGGCCAGAGGGTGAAATTGACCACTCACGAACTAGTGCCATTGTCAAGAAAATGTGGATCTATACATCCACTCCCCCATATGTCTTCAAGGGGTGGGACAGCTTTACCTTTAGTGCACGGTTTCGATTTAGCAACTGGTGGTCGTGCTCTTTTTATTTTGGAACAATATGTCTACTATGATTTTCACAGAATCCCGTATCAGGCAATACTTCGGGCAGAAAAATTTCGGTAGCGACTGTTCTAAGATCTGCAAATCCTCCAAAAGTTGCATCTTCCTCTGACGTTTTGCTACCACAGTTTCACATTCACTTGTCGCGTTACATCCCTCTCTCGTCTCATCCTTCACTTCACCACCAAACAAACAAACAAACAAACAAACAAACAAACAAACTCCGGTGTTTCAGTCCGCAAGAGAACTATACCGAGCGAGCTACCGCCGCTTGTCGGCGAAGTTAGTGCCAACTTTAGCAGATAAGGGTGCCTCGTCGTCAGCGCAACGAATCCCCACGGCTGTTAATTTTGGTTTTCTATACCGGAGCCGCCATTTCCTTGACATAGCTCCTCAATTATCCTCACGAGGCTGAGTGGACCCCCTTCCAAACCCTCTGCTTCTCCTCCTCAGGAAAAAAAAATCTGGTAGCGCCGGAAATCGAAGCAGGGACCTCTGGATCTGTAGCCAGGAACTCTGACCACTAGACCACAGAGGCATTCTTCACTTCACCACCAAATATTATTATATGAAGAGTGCACATTCTCAGACTTCGTTATGAACTGTGATCCATGTTTTGGTTAACAAATCAAATCAAACCTAACCTAACAGTGTGAGACGAAGTTCCATAACCAGTCCTGTATTGAACTCTACTGGACAGGAATAACCATTACTTCGTCCATACATGTATCTATTACACCACGGAGATAGCGTATATACCTTGTGCATATTCTAGTCCGCCAGCAGCTGGAATGACGATACATGCATATGCTCCAATGATCCATGTGTGGAGTAGCTGAGAGACCACTCGTCTTCATGCAATGGCCGTTTTCATCAGCAGCATGAGGCTACACGCTACCGCCATATATATTAGCAATGCTGAATTCTGAACAGTGCTCGCTGCCGAGAGACAGAGAGAAGGGATATGAAAAACGCTGAGAGGGCAAACAAATTGAGAACCACCCGAAACCGACGAAGCATATAATACAATTCAATGCGCTAATAATTAATTCATTTGAATTTGGATCACTCTCAGTACAATTAGAAAGGCAGGCCTCATTCCACTTTTTCCGAATACCGACCACTCTTATTTACGTTACAAGAGTCAATTTGAAATCAATATTTTGGACCATTCCTAGCTCTGTGTTGCATCTTCCACAGTTGAACACTGTTACCGTTTCGTATGAAACTGATGTCTGATCAAACAATGCAGCAATTATTTTCACAGTACTTAAAAGTCATATTTCTGCCTTTGGCCGGAGCTTCTTGCCATGGAAACATGGTGCTATAAGCACATCACGGCATCAAGAGAGGCGGAATTTATATGACAGCTAAGTCGCCTCTTTGCGGGGATAAATCATTTCACGACAGGTCTATGAACATGGATACAAGCAAAAGGAAACTAATTTGTGTTGATATATCGGTCGCTGGTTCTTGAAAAGAATATCCAAGTTCAGGGCGATGACGGTGAAAAATAATCGACGAACCGTATATGAGATATCAAAACATCCACGCGCCATTTCTAAGTGGCTATTTAGGGGGTAAGCCTTGAAATACCAACAGCGTGTATGAGTCGAAACTGGTGAGACGCAGAGACAAGGCGAGGCCTCTGTGATTGGCATTACGGGGGATACACACATATATATAGACAAGGAATTGTCATAATCCAGCTTCCCCCACCCCACCCCCAAAAAATAACGACAGTAGGCTTGAGATCAAGCGACGCGCAAGCACTTGCGCCGTCTGACAATGGGATGGAAACAGGAGCAAGATAAATGACACAAACAGTTTTATTATTGTGAACTCTTGTACAGCTGAGGTATAAATAAAGAAACTTGGAACCATCGTGACTGTCATTTAGAGACTATCAGCTTCAAGCTAAGGAGACTATGCTCTTCTCATTAGCGTCACTTTCCGAATACAGCAGATTAATCGAATTAATTATTGATAAAGGTGATTTGATAATAGAAAATTCGGATGCCTGCATTAAATTCTTATTATAACGTGCTGTACTAAAGTAAACAACTTTCAAAACTGGTAAAATATGAAAAATTAACAAATGTAATTATAAATTAACAGTTTCAATTTTTTTTAAACGGTCCAACAATGGTTATCGTTCAGCTGACGCATATGCCTTGGTTGCTGTGATCGGTTAATTTGCAAGTCGTATAATAAGGATTCGGATAACCGGCGCTCTCCCGTATATTAAAATAGTGAACAGCAACACAGGGCAAATTTAAGAAGCTGAAATATGAAGTCTTGAAACTGCCTCTCCCGTAATAAAGTCTCCACAAATGACTTAAATGAAAACCGAAGAAATCCGAAAGACTTCTTATCCATTTAGTACAATGTGGTGGAACCAATAAACAAACCCAGCTAACTCTCTATAACCAGAAGAACCTCAACGTTCAACATCGCTCCCTAACATCTATGCCCACAAATTCACACGATTCTAAGAAGTTCCACCGACGTCCCCCGCTCAAAATATATCCCGCACGATTCAACCATGCTCCATCTCTACCTCGGTTCATGAGGCCAGTTTCGAAGTTGTTTCCACATAAAAACTCAGCAGCATTTCTTGTCTCCCCCATCACAGTCACATGCCACCGCAGTCTTACCAACTGCGCCGGAGCCAGTAGTTTGGTTTGTTATTCAGAACAGTACTACACGTCTGGTCACAAGTAGTATTGTTCCTACACTTAACCATGCATGAAAGCAAAGAAACGGCAGCATTATGTCATACACACCCCGCAAGAACAGACACAAAGCTCATTTTCGGCTGCCTGGGGAAACAGTGCTTAAAGCGGAAAAGCTGAATTAAAAGCACACGATTTTCACACAATTCGAGAATCAACCTGATATTGTTTCGTCAGTAGGAACATATTTACTCACCTTTTTGGCATCATTGTTGTTGTCCGAGTGGTTGGGCTGCGGGCTCATCACTGAGCCATTGCTCACAGCGCCGCTCTGAGACAGCAGTTCGTCTGAACCACGCTGAAACAAGAAGCACATCTCTTCACTCGCTGCAACATTCAAGTACAATAAAACATTGCAATAGGCTAATTCAAATTTTAAACATTTGAAATAATGTGTTATTTATTGTGTAGCCTGGCGACAACCTGTCAGAAGTGACGCATCAGAGCACAGATCTAGGAAGTTCAACGCCGATCCAAACGGCAGTAGCTGGGCCACATTCAGAGTCTGCACCCTCATGCAGCCCCAGAGGCACTGCGAGAAATTGCAAGTCTGATAGTGGATAGGGGAAATTGAATTGAAAGCCTTGGAGAAAGAATCAATCAGGCACAGAAAACATAATTTTATAGCAGGGAAAGTGCCTTTCAAGAATTCATGCCTGAAGCTGGTAAAACTTCCAGAATGAAACCTAACTACCTTGTATGTGCAGGCAGGATACAACTCATTCTCACATGAAATAACAGCAAATTTTGTTTCAACAACACACTTCCCTCCTCCCACTCCCCGAAATGTGGCGTCTGACTGGGGTCTGTACCTCCGCTTCAATTAGCCTTTCTGATGGTAAGCCATGCCTTAAGTAAGGAACTTCATGGGGAAAAAGTCCCGTGTGCTCAATGAAATCTATGGCAGAACCACTGTGGTTTTCATCATAAGCTGAAACAGACTCTCGCAAATTTCGAATGATGATGTAACGAACTACGTCACTATCTGATAATGACGCACTCTCACAGATGCTTCAAATGCACTTACCGAGGTCACGCGTTCCTTTACTATATTTCAGGAATGGCATCTCTGATAGCACGACCCAAGATCGCCAAAACCAGATCCTACCACGACAAAAGATTCCGTTTCCCCATAAACCATTTGTATGGAATTATAAATCTTTAGTAGCAAATACGAAGATCCAACACTGATATCACCAAACCCGAGGCTGAATAAGACCCTGGACTAGTTGCATTGTTTTTCCTCCTTCCATACCAATTTCACAGCGTCATATTAATGTTATCCACCCACCCGCGCTCCAACTATTGAAGTGGCTACACTGGAAGACGCCAGTCCATTGGAGTTGCAGCCGCGTTTACAATCTCCCTGCTCAAATTACATACCCAGTCCAGTCTCATTTCCTTCACTTGTGACGTAATACTTGAGTTTTACCAATCAGAAGCCCATCCACCTGTACTAACATCGTTCAATTTACTCTGATCTCTGAGCGTCGAGGTTAAGACGTTACATACACCCATCTCTGTGAGGGCAAGCAACAAAACGTACAGAATTGAAATCTAAGCATAATCTGTGAGAAACGATGGGTGGGGATAAGAGCGTCATAAGGAAACAGATTTAGGCGTCGTTTTTTATTTCCCCTGAAAACAAGTCAGCCCGAAATAATCTCAGGCTAGATTTCACCCTCCAGTTCGAAATACACGTATTCACATAGGCTGGTGTATTGCAGGAATACTAAGACATTTATTTACCAGCAGGTCAACAGGTTGTTCTGCGACATGCGTGCGGATTGGCCGCAACCTTCCTTGGATTTAGGAGTGGACTGAAATGATTCATTAATGGTCGTGCTGAACCTTCGTGCTCTACTTACCTCACAGTTTCTTGGCCTATTCAGTTAAAGAGTTTTGACATTTTTCGTAAGGTCCCTTATGCACGATTTACGTAAGACGTTCCTAAGATTACAAATAAAATATCCCTCACATATTACTAAGAAAACAAATACGAGCGCCCTTGTGCAACTGTACATAATACTTTGGAAGAAATATACATTTATAGAGGATATTAAAAGAGAAACAGGCAAAAGGTTATCAGAAAATAGCGGTACTGCTGTTATTCTGATTCTGAAACAGCTGAGTGGTGTGGTTGGTTCGTACATTCAGATATAAAACTAAAAACTATTGTCGTAATTGTTTGCTATTAAAGAAACCGACGCTCCGTATAAATACAAATTGTATATGCTTAAATAATTACTGTTACTTACTTACTTACTCACTCATGGAGCTGAGCCCTTCTTGAGGAGCCGCCAATTCTGCAGCTACTCAAGGATTTCACAGCATTTTATGGAACCCGAAGGTTCATCACCGTGTTCACAAGAGCCCTCCACTGGTCCCTATCCTGAGCCAGATTTATCCAGTCCATACCATTCCATCCTACCTCTCTAAGATCCATCCTAATATTGTCCACCCACCTACGCCTTGGTCTTCCCTGTGGTCGCTTTCCTTCTGGCGTTCCCACCAATATCCTATACGCATTCTTCGTCTCCCCCATTCGTGCTACATGACCTGCCCACCTCATCCTCCTTGACTTGATCATTCTAATTCTACTTGGAGAAGAGTACAAGTTATGAAGCTCCTCATTATGCAGTTTTCTATAACCTCCTGTCACTTCATCTCTTCGGTCCAAATATTCTTAACACCCTGTTCTCAAACACCCTCAGTCTATGTTCCTCCCTTAATGTCAGAGACAAAGTTTCACCCATAAAGAACAAATAATTACTGTAAGGATAATAAAAATAGATTAATATAGGTTTTGTGGTTCAGCTATCGCCATTTTGAGTAACATGAGTTCCCCTTGCGCTTTTCAGGAATCTGATGTGCTTGAGATTACTGTACACGGCATCGAGGAAATGTTCACGTCAGATAACGTTTTAGTGCGGGCCGTACCACAGTTAGGCGCTTAGTCTCTGGCTTCCCACCGAGGCGGCCCGGGTGCGAGGTCGGGTCATGTGGGATTTGTGATGGACAAAGTGGCACTGGGGCAGGTTCTCCGAGTATTTCGGTTTCCTTGCGAATTCTTATTCCACCGACTGCTCCACGTCCATCACCATCTGTCATCTGGGGCTGGTAAAATAGGCCAATTGGTGGCCGATGTACGAAGTGGACTCAAGTCTCACCCCCACCAAGAAAATAAGCTAAAAACTAAATTACCGTTACAGCGTGTTGCGTTCAATAAAACAGGCTAATAACTTAACCCGGGCAAAGGTCGGGTCCTTGCAGATAGTAAACGCTAAGCGTTATAAACCTACCTGTCTATTTAAATGAATGAAACGCCCTTAGAACACCTGCTTAGAATGCAGGGTGCGTGTGGCCTAATGTCAATATCTTGGAAAATAAGCAATTTTCTTCAATTTTCCGCTGAACAAACAGTATACCCAAAACTTTTCATAACTCTACCCGCTGTCTTCAGCATCCTATTTCCTTAAGTAGCAATAAAAGTTTCCAAGCTCGGGAGGAATTGAAGCACCTTCCATCATTCCACTCAAGAAATGCACAAGCAAAGTTTTGCGCCTTATATGTCAAAGAAATAAACTAGATAACACAATATAATGCAGCTTAGCTGTATCCAACCCAGCTACAAGGAAATTGACGGTAGAGTGAAGAAGGCTTGTTACACGTAAGACAAGATTCCAAGATGTGATTTGTGCGAGGGGTACTAACCAAGCACAACTGTCTGACTTTATATGCATCGTGTAAGCGTTCTGATGATGGTAATTTGCACCCCGGATTACTGATTCCTGCGCTTGGTCAAGAATACTTCAGGATGGACAAAGAGCCCGAAACTCCGTACTCTAGGAACACCCGTCTTATAACCAACGTAAAAATACACTAAAATCGTACAAAACTGGCATGCTAAAAATCTCCGTTCTTTTGTCATGTAGTTTCCCTACATCACTGAAGGAAGAAAACAGACACTGAGGGTACAAAAAATGGGTTCTGCGGACAATACGTCGCCCTCAGAGAGATGCACAGGAGGCTAAAGAAAACAGCTCGATGAAGACATTCATAATTTTCTTTACTCAGTTTTGTCAGAACGACTTGGATCAAGGAGTGGCAGTTGGAACAGGCATACAGCAGCCATTCTGACTGAGAAGAAGTCGCTAGAAGCGAAGATCTGCGTGCAGACGTTCAAATGGAGGACCTAGGGGTAGATGGAGAAAAAAAAATGGGTCTTCGAAAAAATAGTTTGTGAAGGTGGGAACTGGATTCAACCGCTTTAGGACATGACCAATGATGGCGTTGTTGTGAGACAGTAATGAGACTTCAGGTTCCTTAAAAGAAGATACATGTCTCGGAATATTCTGTACATAAGTCGACAACATTCACTTTTCGTGGTAATATTATTCGAGCATATGCTAAAGTTAAACAAGACACATGTAAGCATTTTCCGTTTTCAGATATCCTTTGCTATGTTTATCGAGAGTGTATATATATATATATATAGTACCTTCTTTGTGAATAACATTTCGAAGTGAATTCTGATAAAATACCTTCTACAATTCTGCCTGGCTGTACTATGCATTTGACCACCTCTGTGGTCTATTTGTCAGAGTTCCTCGCTACAGATCCAGAAGTCCGGGATCAATTCCCGGGGCTACTTAGAAGTAGTGGGACTGAGACGGGGTCCATTAAGCCTCGTGAGGCTGAGGAGCTATTTCAAGGAAATAGCGGCTCCGGTCTAGAAAACCCAAATTAACGGCCGTAGGGATTCGTTGCGCTGACCACGCGACACCCTCTATCCGCTAAAGTTGGCACTAACTTCGACGACAAGCGGCGGTCTCTCGGGGACACAAGTCACGGAGTTCTTTTTGTACTGTGCATTTGCGTGACCAATCAAGCTGGGTGAAGCTTCTGACTTGTAATTAGGAGATATCCAGTATGAATCTCGGCCAGGATATACTGTCCTGATATTACTCAGTCTCTGCAAGCAAATGACGGGACATAATATTCAATTAGGCGAAGACAACTTCCAAGTTTATTCCTAATTCACTATTACCAAATCGTCCGAAGCTACAGAGTCTAACTTACTAACTGCATTGTTAAAAAATTAAACTACATGCGTGAATTTACTGTCCCATGCAGCTACTACTCGTACATGTATGCCTTCTTAGATGGCACTGCTGTTCATCTTCTGAAGCGGGAAACACCAACTTTCCGCGCTTCTATCACAAGATACGTTAAATTTTCAAAGTTAGGGAAGGAAACCTGTAAAAACCGTGTAAACGGCCAGCCGTGAACAAACCG